CGTAGTTTTAAAGAATTAAGCTTACATAGAGATATAGGGACAGAGAAATCGACTTTGTTTTAGACTACGTAGTGATTATAAATTAATTGTATTAATATAACCTAATTTAATAATTTATAAGCTATGTTTATATAAAGCGAGTTACCTGCAGTCAAACTGCGTATACAGTTTTGCGGGGCATGCCTTAAATGAAATTGTAACTTTTTAGGAATAAATATATTACATACATACATACATACATACATACATACATGAACATCTATAATATCTATAAATGAATATCTATAAATATAATAAATATTAATAAATATTTACTAACAATCACGCCACGTTCACTGGTCCCGTGATAAGTTCGTAAAGAACTTGTGTTACAGGTACCAGATAACGGATATAAATGTAAGATTTTTATTATACACATACATATATTTAATATACATCCATAACCCTGGAAAAGACATTTATATTTATCATACAAATATCTCCCCTTGGCGGGATTCGAACCCGCGACGCCCTTGTGTAGTGACCATGTCACTTACCACTACACCAGACGGCCGTTAAAGTTACTGTTTCCGTAGTACGCTTGTGAATATACAAAACTACTTATTTTTTCAATTAATTTGTTTTTATTTCTCCAGCAGTAAGTTATGGTATTCATTTTCGCGGCATTTTCTATACTGTCACAGATTATATTTGCGTCGATTTCAAATTAATTGGTTTATAAAAAAATGTATAGATGGCGTTTTTGTCGCGGTGATTAGTTTCAAATAAAATAAAATATATACAGTACTCCTTAAAATAATTATTTATGTATTCGTTTAGGTTATAAAATCAATTACTAACACCTTACAACTGTCAAGATCATAATAATCATAATAATTGATGCATTGGAAAAGCCGGTAGGGAGCCTGTGGAGGCTGTGCTTCTGGTATTGCTGACGTCCATAAAAGACACAGAACAATCAACTTTCAGTTGGTCTGTATTTGGTTTACGAAGAAGGTAAATACGGTATTAATTTTGTTATAATTTAGTTTACTTTTGATTTAAGTACAAAAATCCGCTTAATATTTTGTGAGCTCATTTACGCGCCGAGACTGACTAATACGAAACAGCTAAGCTCTAACAAATTAAAACTACTCCCTACTGACTCTGTGCGAATTAAACTGAGTTTCAAAAACAGATTAAAATAATGTTGTTCATTAAAAAAACGAAATACAATAAGACGCTATGAATGTTCTTTAGAGAAAGCCTTAATTACAGTAGATAAATTTCTAACTGCTGGAAAATAATATTTTAGGCTGACTGTCTGTTTAAATTTGAGTTATACGCAGCTGTTTACTAAATTAGCATCAGTATCAGATATTGAGAGTTTAAGTAATTCAAACAAAAATATTACATCCATTAATCATGTTTAATAATAATAACAATGAATAAATTTTTTTTATTGCTTAGATGGGTGGACGAGCTCACAGCCCACCTGGTGTTCAGAGGTTACTGGAGCCCATAGACATCTACAACGTAAATGTGCCAACCGACCTTGAGATATAAGTTCTAAGGTCTCAGTATAGTTACAACGGCTACCGAACCCTTCAAACCGAAACGCATTACTGCTTCACGGCAGAAATAGGCAGGGTGGTGGTACCCACCCGTACGGACTCACAAGAGGTCCTACCACCAGTAATTACGCAAATTATAATTTTGTGGGCTTCTTGATTTTAATTACACGATGTTATTCCTTCAGAAATCTTTATTTGAAAAAAAAAAAAAAACTCTCCATGGCAGACAGGTGTTGGGCGGCGTTAGTTAGCTCAGGGTAATTCCAGGGACACGATTTGCAGTGAAAACATACGCAATGTTTCCAAGTGGTTGGTATGAACTTTTGACTCAAAAACATACTCGATCCTGTAGGCCGAATGGTAAACAGTCGACGTCACCCTAAACACGTAACTACGGAACCTCCCGATCCATTAATGGTGCTTTTAGGTACCACAAGCACCGGTCACCGTGTGAATTAACATAGAGACACAGCCCACTGAGTTTCTCGCCGGATCTTGTCAGTGGGTCGCGTTTCCGATCCGGTAATAGATTCTGCGAAGCACTGCTCTTGCTAGGGCCAGTGTTAGCAACACTCCCGGTTTGAGCCCCGTGAGCTCACCTACACGTCAAGGAGAAGCTGAAATAGTCTCTCAAGGCTATCAGCATAGGTAGGCAAAAAAAAAACTCAGAACTCTGTACCCACGAAATAATGTAGCAAACACTAAATATACAACTTAAAATCACACGGAGGAATGTTAGCACGAAACTTATTTAAAAGCTCTAGTAAACTAGTTCTGCACTCGTCTTGAATTACTAATGACGTCACAAGAAGATGACGTCACGAGACCTAGGCGCTTTTACGCTTGACAACTCGAGCTTGCACTTTGTGAGCTTATTCAAAAATTCACGAGGACTCTCCGCTTTTAGTACTATTCATATGCTTTATCGAATTCTAGCATTACTTTAATAGTTTTATTTTCGATGTTCCAAGAGTCCGGTTTGTGTTATTTCTGTTTTGTGGGTATGAATAAATAAAATTAAAATAAACCTAGCATATTTTTTTTAATTGTTACGAAGTTAACGCGTCCTCATAAGTGGAGTCCAATGCTTTTATTGTATTTTGTATAAGCGGTACCAGTATCAGCAGAGCATATCCTAAATTATGTTATAGTATTTATATCATTAAAACTAAATAACAAATTCAATAAGATCTTTCACTGTGTTTGACATCTAAGAATTTACCTTTGTGTGTTTACTTTTCCTGTTTATTCTAAAGCTACTCGTGTAGAGGGTGTTCGTAAAACGAATTAAAAGAAACCCTAGTCATTTTATGGGATTTGCATTTAAAAATGTTCAAATTAATACAATTAAGAGAGATTTCTTTGACGAGCTATTGGTGCGTTTCAAAAACATAAACGGAAAACTTTTTTATATTACATAGATTGGTTGACGGGCTCACAGCCCACCTGGTGTTAAGTGGTTGCTGGAGCCCATAGATATCTACAACGTAAATGCGCCACCCACCTTGACATATAAGTTCTAAGGTCTCAGTATAGTTACAACGGCTACCCAACCCTTCAAACCGAAACGCATTACTGCTTCACGGCAGATATAAGCAGGATGGTGGTACCTACCTGTACGGACTCACAAGACCTCCAACCATTAGTAAAAAAGGAGGAGGAAGGAAGATACTGTAAAACTGAGGTATAGAACTGATGTCTCAAGCTGGGTGGGGGTATTTACATTGTAGATGTCCATGAGCTCCGGTGACCACTTAACACCAGATCCAAAATAATACTAATAATTATATTCATTAAGTCGCAGTGAATAAATAGCACAGCATTTGTAAATTAACGATTTACATTTTAAACACCCTGTACAGTAAACGATTTGTCTTCATAATAAAATACGGGGAAGAACCTTTCTTGAACTTCCATTGAGGGTTTCCTTAACGCGTCAAATTATAATTAAATTAATTTTGGGCGCTTTTGAATTTGTTGTGTTTTACGTCGCTTCGTATCGTTAATGTGTTTTTTTTTTAATTGCTTAGATGAATGGACGAGGTCACAGCCCACCTGGTGTTAAGTGGTTACTGGAGCCCATAGACATCTACGACGTAAATGCGCCACCCACCTTGAGATATAAGTTCTAAGGTCTCAAGTATAGTTACAGCGGCTGCCCCGCCCTTCAAACCGAAACGCATTACTGCTTCACCGCAGAAATAGGTAGGGTGGTGGTACCTACCCGCGTGGACTCACAAGAGGTCTTACCACCAGTAAACAAGAGGTCCTACCACCAGTTGATTTGATGTTTATTTTTCCAATTGTTAGGGATGCGTGTGTTGTCAGTAAGCATGACCTGATGCTTTTCTGCCGCGAATAAATCACGCGTTCCGACTTGTAGGGTAAAACAGCTGTTTCTCCAAGACAATTGAGGCTTTGATTTCGTTCCTTTTTTTAATACGCTTTTATTAGCTTAAGACGTATGTATGTTAGTATGTAATGGAAACTTTGAACATGATTTTGACCCCCTTCAAAACGTCGGATTAACTCGAAATTTGGTGTACTTATTAAGGACCGATGACAAATCAATATTAACAAAAAAATTGAAAAAAAGAGAATTGAATAAATTGAAATCCAACTAAAAAATAGAAAAAAAGAGAATTGAATAAATTGAAATCCAACTAAAAAATAGAAAATAAAATTTAATAAATTACAATAAAATCATTTCACGCTTCACGCAATTTTCACGCTTTTTTACAATAAAATAATTTTTTCTTACACTATTTTTAATTCAAATTTATTTTCTATTTTTTAGTTGAATTTTCCATAAAAGCGTATTTTGTTATTTTTTTTTAACTATTATCTATTTTTCATTTTTTAGTTGAATATCAATTTTTTTATTGCTTAGGTTGGTCGACGAGCTCACGGTCAAACTGGTGTTAAATGGTTTCCGGATCCCACCCACCTTGAGACATGAGTTGTAAGGGTCTCAGTTTTAACAGTACAAGGCTGCCCCGCCCTTCATACAGAAACTTACTGCATCGCGGTTGAAATAGGGTTGTGGTACCTACCCGTGAAGGCTCACAAGACACCACAACAAACAAATACTAAACGAAAATATCGATTACATATGCTTAAACATATACTTTATTTACATTTCAGACAATATATGAAAAACGACAATTACATTTACTGAAAATCAATTTGTTCTGTACTTTGATACACCTACAGCATTAGCTGGGATAGCTCCTTCTGTCCTATCTTTGCATTGTATTCTTTTTTTTTTATTGCTTAGATTGGTGGACGAGCTCACAGCCCACCTGGTGTTAAGTGGTTACTGGAGCCCATAGACATCTACAACGTAAATGCGCCACCCACCTTGAGATATAAGTTCTAAGGTCTCAAGTATAGTTACAGCGGCTGCCCCGCCCTTCAAACCGAAACGCATTACTGCTTCACGGCAGAAATAGGCAGCAGGGTGGTGGTACCCACCCGCGCGGACTCACAAGAGGTCCTACCACCAGTAAAACCAGTTTGTTGTTGTTATTATTACGAAGAACATCAAAATGATGTCATATCAATTGGCGATATCTTTGACTCTCCAGATTATGAACTCAGATTGTAGCCATCAGTCTTGAAGTAGTATATACCAGTAGCATTTCCGGGGTTCCAATAGCCGGCTATGGACATATCGCTGGTAGCACATCTTCCTTTCTTGAAGTCCTTATACGAGTTGCATTTCCATGCCGGGAACCACTCTGGATGTCTCACTGACGCAGTCCAAATGTCAATGCAAGTCCTGTGATTGCAGGAAGCCGCTTTTGGCGAGTCAAAGATGCCGGGAATCCAAGGAGTGCTGCAGTTGGGTTGGGTTTGTCCGTTTTTGTTAATGAAGAAGTCCACATCGCCTAATACGCTGGAACTACCCAAACCGCCAGCATTGCAGTGGTAGACCTCAACGTAGTTTGCCACACCAGCTCTAACCTGCTCCTCAATAAAACTGTTCGAAAAGCAAGGTCCGGCTGGGTCTAAAGCGGTGATTCTCTGTATTCTTTCGAAACCCAGCCTCATGAATTCATCGCCAGCATGTCCCAATATTTGCGCCCCAAGACTGTGGCCAATACAGTGCATTTTCTGTGTGGTTACACCGCCGTCACGAATTTTGACCAACATTTGTCCCAACGCTTTACCAATATAGTGAACGTACTTAACAGATCTCTCGTAGCTCTTTTTATTGCCCTGCTTATTGTTGGTGTATAGAGAATGATCCAACATGATTAAATAAATGTTCGGTACAGTTCTGAAAGCATCTCTGATTTGTTCCTCGGTACGTTTGTGGATTTGTGATTTGAAGCCACCAACGAAGGTGATGAATTTCTTGTTTTTATCCAATTTTGGGTATGAGAGGATACCGTTAGCTGCTTCATCGATGGTAAACGTTTTCACCTCGTTCTTTGAAAAATCATAGAAATATACATCGATCCCGCTGACGTCCAAATTCAAGTTTCTGTTATGATTACCTGTGAAGGAAAAAATATGGTTATTGTATTGATTTCAACGAGAGATAAATGGGAAAGGCCTTTTTACTTCAAGAAAAAACCACATCTTAAGGAGTATCCTACTCTCCAGTAATAAAAAATGCCATTAATACGTCCGTTATTGTATTTATTTCAACGAGAGATCAATGGGATAGGCCTTTTTACTTCAAGAAAAAACCACATTTTAAGTAGTATCCTATTCTTCAGTAATAAAAAATGCCATTAATACGTCCTAAAGTATGCAACGGACCGTCTCGGGTTGGGTAAAATACCCTATTTACTAAAACACGTCTTTCTATGCATCGCCTTGTCTTGTAAGGATTTTCAGAGCTTGTATTTATGCATACTATGCTCATCTCTCAGCCTTTGTCTGCAGTAGAAAAACTCAGTGCAATTTCGCTATGTGTTTAAGAGGGTGCGCTTCGAAATTCCAGGTTTAATAATGGCGTTTAGTTGTAAATTAGACTTTAAAAGAACGCTGTTAAATTTTAAGACAGTTTTATTTGTTATAGATAAATTATTTTTGTCAGAAGATAGCAGATAAAGCGTTCCAGTTGACTCACGGTTCGGCAAACACTTTAAAATGTCTTGTGGCCTTGTAGGAAAATCTAGTAATTACACAATTTTAAAAACATTAAAATTGGTTACTGTAAATTTTTTATCTCTTAAAAAAAAAATTATATAGACTATTTGATGAACAGCATCTTAAGCCCTTAACATTGTCATCATCAGCAGCCTAACAGCATTATTTCGACCAGCGACTTGTAAACACGGTGGAAGCTTGATAGATTAGCAATATACAGTGCACGTGCGAATCTGAGTATCCACTTCGAGATACGTGCCTAGCTAACAATCAACCATCTCGAGTTTTTATCCATCAAATGGGATATACAAAATTAGTCTTCGCCAGAAATAAACTCGATAACGACACCTACTTATTTATAAGATTTCGCTAAATAAAAAGCTTAATAAAAATACTTACATTTCAATAACCCCGAACGTAGAGCCAATTGGAACGGTCCGAATTTCTCTAGGTCCCCGCGTCCCCAACCAGACACGCAAACAAAAAAACACACGGCCAAACAAAAAAACGTCTTCATTTTAATTCGGCCAGCGAAACACTGCGTTCGAGTTGCCAACGACGTAGGAGCGCCACTCTATGGTGTTACCGCATAAATGACAGTACAGTTAAACGTCAATGCAATTTATACAACTGAAGAGTTAGTCATTTGATTACATGTACATACTGAAGCTGCACTGAATATTTTTTGACATTAGGTCACATAATCTATACTAATATATAAATCTACAGTGGGATGTTCTGTTATAACTACTGAACCATGCATCCAATTGACTTGAAACTTGGTATCCATGTAGAAAATACATGTACTTAATGGATAGGCTAATATTTATATGAGTGTTGGACTCCCTAATAATAATGACAAAAAATAATTATGTTAATTTTAAATGCCTTCTTTCCAAAAAACTAAAACTTCTCTAACTTCTAAAACTTTCCAAAAAAATTCCTGAAATCTCAGAATTCATTTATTGAGAAATTCGATAGAGAAAAATTAATATAAAAAGAGGCGCATAGTTTTATATATCACAAATTGGGACTAGTTTCTATAAATTAGTATGTAAACTTACAATATTTACGCTGAGAAAGATATGCGTTTTGAGGTGTTACGTAAAGAGTTACACGTGCTGTCATTAGTGACCTGTATTTTAAGGACATACATTTTTGTGTTGTCAACGCCATATGTCATTGTGGAAAGTCTTAATTGACAGTAGTTTTTTGTAAGACTCAATAAGTTCCGAAGTGTATGACGACACCTTGTTCTGTCTTTAAGCTGTGGCAACAATTTTATTTATTGCTTAAATAGTGTTAAGTGGTTACCGGTTCCCATATTCTTACCTGAAGGGTAGGCAACGCACTGGCGTAAACGCTGGTGACCGTGGGCGGCGGTGAATCACTTACCATCAGGCGACCCGTCTTGCTCGTTTGCCTCTTGTTGTTATAAAAAAAAAATTGACATCTACAACGTAACTGTCGCATGAGACATGAGTTCTAAAGTCTCATTTTAACAGTACAACGGCCGCTCTACTCATCATACCGAAACGCATTACTGCTTCACGGCAGAAATAGAGTGGTGCTACCCATGGGGACTTACAAGACGTCCTACCACCATTAAAATTTTGCGGGCTTGATTTTTATTACACGATGTTATTCCTTCACTGTGGAAGTCAATTGTGACCATTTGTTGAGTACGCATTTCATTAGATAAATTGGTACTTGCCTACGGGATTAGAACACCGTTGCGTCGTTTGATACGAATGTACAGGGCGTCCTATCCTTTAGGCCACGACGATTAATTACACTTAATCCTAGTCCGTGAGTTTGTCCTCCACTTACAATATGTGTATTGTGTGATTTTAAAAAGCATTTAGACAATGAATCAGGAAAAAATCTATATTAAGATCTTCGTTAATTTAATGTTGTTCATTACTTTTCAATGTAAACTACGTGTAAGGAAACATTATGACTAAAGGAATGAAATAGAAGCGTTAACACATTCGTCGAAGAAAATAATAAATGTAAAGTGAGAATCTGGTTCAGCAAAGATATTATATCGCAAAATATTGTACAATGTATTGGCGCCAAAATGAGAAAACTCAATGAGCAATTATATAAAAATGACAGATTCCAAATTCAAAAGTAATATTTTGTTTATTTTTAATTGTAACAGTATTTATGGCCAGCCTAAGTATATTGCAGATATTAATGGTAGATGAGACCATGGTATATCCGAGTTCGAGTGGACTCCTCGAATGTTTTCAATGGATTTTTCCTCAAAACATCCCGTTTATTTATTGTTCATTAATTACATTATTTTTCCTTTAAAATGTTTTTTCCGCGCGTTTCACAAAATACCAGTTTGCTGACGCTGGGAATATATGTAATCACCGAAACGTTATACTTAAATTAATTACCTTTGACGTCAAAATTGTGATGTAACAATTAACCTTGTATTAAAAACTATGTTTATTTGTTTCGATAAGTTGACGTGTCTCAAAATTGACGTATGTCATCTTTGATCTAGTTCCGATTTAATGTAAAAAAACGACAAGACAGGTACATTGTATATTTAGAATGTGAAACGTGGAACGTTTAAATTGATGTAACTAGTTCTCAAATCAAATGATTATAATTCGATCTGTACAGAATATATATGCATACTAGCTGGCCCGGCAAACGTTGTTTTGCCATATAAATTATTTCTAGGAAAGATAAATAAAATAAGATAACCTAGATACCGACTGCAGCGCCATCTGCCGGGCTGATCTGTAAATTTAAACCATTCTCGAATCCACCTGAAGTTACACAGAAAATTTCATTAAAATCGGTCCCGCCGCTTAGGAGGAGTTCAGTGGCAAACACACGCACAGAAGAAATATATATACAAAGATATAATCAATGCTCAGACTATATATAAGAATGTTTAAAGCCCATATCGGTAAGAAATATAATAATACTTATTCTAAATATATTCTAAATTTATCAAAAAAAAAAAGTTTTTAATTTCCAAGAACTATCTTACGTCTTTGTGTTTGTCTGATTATAAAATTGTTTCTGTTATTATCATCACAGATGTCTCGTGATATCAACCAATCGCAGATAAGAACTGTTTGGTCTCGTTCAGAGAATATCATAAGCGTAGAAAACGGTTCGCTCGCGATTACAAACGTCACAGGTGCGAGAATCAATGTTGATAATATAATATTAAAATACTTATCATAGAATGAAAAAGGGTGGGAGTAAAAAAATCATTAAACAAAATTATAGATGTGAATTGTACAGAAAATACCCTCTATATGATATGTTGCAATAGATATACTACTGGAGATATAACCTAAAGAGTCTTTACGTCAGGAAGGCGGCCGTAAAATTAATGATCCCAAATAATGTGGGACGCAAGAGGAAAAAGAGATGTGAGATTCATGTTTGATTGCGAACCACCTTTTTTTTCTATCTATTCTAGTAGCCTCGAGCGATTATTCTAGATTCAGCGAACAAGTAGGTGAGCTCACGGGGCTCAAACCGGGACCGTTGCTAACTAACACTGGCTCTAGCAAGAGCAGTGCTTCGTAGAATCTACCACCGAATCGGAAACGCGACCCACTGAGAAGATCCGGCGAGAAACTTAGTAGGCGCAACCGATTTTTTTTTTCCACAGGAGAAAATCGCCGGATTCCCACCTGCACGGCAGGTGGGGTATGTGGGAGTCGAACCTCACCAAAAACTTCTGCCGCTCACAGCCGGCGCCCTACCCCGGACCGGGCGGGAACCCAGTCGGAGCTATTGAGACGGCGGGACAGGGTTTACGCAGAGCATATTACATCCATCCCGCCGTCCCCCAGACGCCGGACCGGCGGCCGCCAGCGACACGACCGCCGGTTCCCTCGGTCGACGGGCCAAGAGCCCGCACTAATCGCGCCGCGCTACACCTTCCCCCGGAGCGGTCGGTGGAACGCGGCCTACCACGCCGCCCCACGCCTAGGCTCCTCTCCGCACAAAGCGGGTGGAGCCCGAAGCTCTTAGGGGGCCGGGTTACGGACGGGACCCC